GACTAAAGTCATTTATTTTGAATTAAATAGCGTTTCTTTTGAATTTTCATAAGTCTAGTGTGGTGATGGTGAGTGGTGATGTAATCCAAAACGGTAAAGTGCACTAAGTTTAGCACACTCTTGCCTTAAAAGCGAAGCGCGAAGCATTGTCATAATCATCATTTATCATTACAGCCCTTTACAAGTTACCTGCTAGAGATAGGCCTTCCACAAGGAATGCCACAAAGCACGGTTCTAAATCACTGCATCTATTGACCTCCACATGCAGGAAGCATTGTGATTCGATGGAAAGATAGATGTTAGAAATTACTCCACGTTATTGCTATACATATTACGGATAAAGAAGCAAACCGTTTAGATCAAATGTGTGGTATATCAACAACAAAGAGCTGGAGGCTGGCCCAACGTCTGGTGAACGATGGTAAAAGGCACAGGGAGGGAAGTCATGCAATTACTGCGCACACTCTCACTCTCCGAAATGTATCCTGTGTCCTGTAGAACCAATAAAAACTTATCGTAACCAATTCTTTGGACTAAAAATCTTTGAACAATCCCACGTGCGAATGTATAAAGTATTGATGCACCTGCAATATTTTTCGATAAGATCGTTTCGGGTTTTTAGGCTTCAAAAAGCTTTAACAAGAAACAGTAGGCAGGACTCGGGCAACGAACTCCCGTAGCAAGTCAATATTGCCAAATTTGAATAAGGCCTACATCATTGGGCCAGTGGCACTGTCGGTATTTAGCTTTTGGTTAATTTAAAACATAATAATTTTTAATATTATTTGAAAACATTGAGCTATTATGTACTACGTACTAGAGGAGACACTGCATTCAGCTACTCTGTTCCACTCAACTGCGGTGCATGCACCGCACTTTAATCAGTCACTCGCTAGGCGCTTGTAGAGTTGTCACGTGTTGTGTTAATTTAAAAAAAAAATCTCTTGATAAAATATGCCATCTTGTGTACTTAGATATTGCACAAATAATTCAGAATACTTTCATTAATACTAATCAAAATATAAAATTAATAATAAAACATTATTCCACCATAATATAAATAATATTCAGATACTGAGAAATATAATATACACATTTTTTTTAGAAACACATATATATATATATATATATATATAATATATATATATATATATATATATATAAAGTTATTATAATTAGGCTAAATTTTTCATGTTTAAATCTGCTTATTATTCTTTTATTTTATTTTTAGGTTTCCACTTCAAGTCAAAGTGGAATATTTTCGTCCATTTTTAACTCTCGCGTGCCCTGCATTTATGAACGATTATTTACAGCATTTATGACTCTATAATTTTAATTTAAATAAATATATTTGTAATTTAAAATTTATGTTAATAACTTTTGTTAAACATAAATTTAGTATGTTTTTTTATATTACATAGATACCTTTTAAAATATTCAGATAAAAATATCATTAAAATGTAATTGTGATATAATATTATGTAATATTATACTAAATAAACAAATATAATATACAAAATAAATGACAAAATTTAAATATTGTTCTCGATATAATTTAGCTATTTAACAATACAATCTACTATTACCCACGGATCATTCTACCTATGTTTATTCTATGATAAAAAACCAACCGCGCGAACACAGAGTTCGCACATTTTTTGTTTGAGATAGCTGTTCTAGTACGTAAGTACATATTACTTCAATGTTTGAAAATTAGTTTATTAAATATTAATCTAGAGTAGATTTTTCTTCTTTATCAAAGTCTACTAGAAAACGGTTTCTCTGAAAACAATATATCATACAACATCAACAAATATGTTCACAGTGCATAATCGCATTTTATATTATGAACTTAAATTTCTTAAACATTTTACATGCCTGCAAATAGAAAATAGCAGGATAATATTGCAGTTCTTCTTACGGTCAGTGATGAGAACAGAAGATCCTTTTAACTGGTAACGAGGCTTTCCATCTTAGTCCTCACGGGTGACAACGCATCTGCATTTTGATTCGTAATCGAGGATAGATGTAGATGTCTATGGGCCACGGCAACCACTTACCATCAGGTGGACTGTGTGCTCGTTTGTCACCCTATCCTATAAAAAAAATCCCGCAAATAGAAAATAGCAGGATAGTATTGCAGTGCTTCTTACGGTCAATGATGAGTAAAGAAGATCTTTTTTACTGGTAACGAGGCATTCACTTCGTACTTCTGCGTCCAAATTTCAGTAATAATCGAGGAATGGGTATCTATGGGTTACAACATCCACTTACTATCAGATGAACTGTATACTCGTTTGTTACCCTACTTGAATTAAAAAGTAAATATCATATTATACATACATTCTTCATTAACTCGAAAAAAAATATACAACGCGTACAGAATTGTTAAAGTAATCTAAAGAATTTGAATATTGGGTCTTGTATACAGAAACAGTAAAAAAGGGTTCATATTGAATAAAACTAAATTTACGGATTCTATCGCGTTTATTTAACTGATTTTACTTATTTTAAATTCCCGACGTTTCGGGTGCTTTACAGCAACCATGGTCACGGGGGGGGACTGAGATGTTTGACGTCCCAATGTCATTGTTAGCCCGGCTACCTTCAGTTTTTGAATATTAATTTTTGGTCCGATTTACGCAAAACGAACTTACAGTATCTTGAAGTCTTGCAGTGGTATGCTTGGGTTTAGGTTTAATTTTGTCAATTATGGGATCCCAAGCAGATGGCAGCACCCAACCATCTTCTCTATTGAAATTAGGATGTTTTTTAATTTCGATAGCCTCGCGTATCATCCTTGGTAGGAATCGGTGTTCTTTTGCGAGGATTTGTGGTTTATCAAATCCGATGTAATGGTGGGGACGATCTTGAACATGTTCACAGACTGCAGACTTCCCGGAGCGTCGGTGCTTCACGTGGGTTCATATTTAAAACATTGAAAAGTGCCCAGGGTAAACGTGCACTTTCAAACCCAAAATCTCACTAGGTTAAATTTTTAAAAGTTCTCAGCAATTCCTTACTTAAAATAGGTACACTTAACTAAAAGTTGTGAAGCTGGCCTGCCAGCTAGTTCCGAATACAAACACGTCGAAAGATCGCTCTAAAAACCCAAAACATCTTTTTTCATCCGCCATCAACAAAAACATGAGCCGAAAGAAATGTACGAATGTAAATAAATCCGAAACAACAATATGCCCACCGTGGAGGAACTGTTTATGAAAAAAAATGTATGTAAAAATTTAAATTTCCATTGGAAGAAATATTGCTCCCTTCATTAGTTCTTTATTCAGATTGAGTGACGTCCTCCTTGGTTTAGGTTTTTTCGCGTAATTCAAATCGTGTTTTTCGTCCAATTTCGTCGGGTTTTTAGAGGCACTGGGCAATTTATTGCTGTATTTGTCGGGATTTTGTGAGGGATAGGAATTAGTTGAAATGTTACGGACGTGGACGGTTCGATTGAGTATAAATAGTCTAATTAGTTCTGTCAACGCTGATATTGACTTGGTTGATCTTGTTCAATACATATGAAGTAAAATATAATGACAATTTCGGCTCTATTTAGAACTTTTTGATAATTGGTAGAATCACGCTACAGCTATATTATGATTGTAGAACGAATGGGTCGGCTCTTTCGGGGAAAGACGTCCGTAGAGAGTGTAGAGAACGAGATAACCTTTCTACTGGAAACGAGGCATTCCATCTTAGATCTCAGAGGTGACAATACATCCATATATTGATTCTTAATCAAAGGCAAATGTGATCATCAATAAAAAACAAAAGGTGGACTCTGTGCTCGATTGTCACCCTTATACTATAAAAAATATTTGCAAGACAAGCATGGCAACTATGGCAAATGTCTTTATTAAATTAATTAATTTATTATATGAACAACAAAAAAGATAGCAATCAAATTACATTTAAAAAAATCACTCTAACTGTTCTGTTCAAATTGTTATCTTGATTAATAATGTCACATCATTTTTATATTAATAGCAATTTACTCAGTATGCACTATTTATAACATATGTACTTAAATCATAATTAAAATTTGAATGATACGTATAACTGCTGTTTTAAATATCCCGGGTCTTGGATCGAAAATATGTTTGAAAATGTGTTTTTATGGAAATCTCGTTGCCGTGCCGACACATTCGTATTATGGGTTTATATGTAGAAGGAAGTGCTATTCTTATAAGTCTGAAGGTAAAAGGTCTTATTAGAAATTCGTATAGAAATTGCAATTAGATTTAGTTTATTTAATGTTAAAGTATAATTACTATAATTCTCATTTCCCATGTGTTTTTTTTTTATTTTTTTGTTGTTATTTAGGAAGATGTTGTACCCATATGTTTTGTTTCCCTTTGTCGCCTATTATGACATTCGCGGGATGATATGTTGATATGATGTATTGGATATTCTTACACCGCTATTATACGACAATCGTTTTACGACTAAATTGCTGTTAAAAATAAAAGTTTGCTCTACGGTCAGAACAATAAATAGTTCATTCGCTTTTACTATCCAGGATTAGACTCTCTGGACCCAGCGGCGAATTCAAAACAACCCCTAGGGGGTTGGGGTAAAAACGTGGAAAGATTTACCAACACCGTTCTGGTGCAAATTAATACAAATGATTGTTTAAAAATAGAATTCCGCTGGGTTTCTTACTGGTTTTTTTTCGAACTTATTACTTAAAATCTATATTAAATAAAATTTATTCTATTCTTTTTCTATTTTTACGTCACCCACGGAACGAAATTGGTTGAAGGATTAAGATTTTTAAACACAGTATACACGGCACGTTAGTCGGCAGCTCATATGAAATATGCATGAATAATTGTCACAAGATTATAGATAACGATCGATGATCGTATTCGGCAAACTCCCTCAAGGGCGATGATGACGAGAGTAATATAGACCATGTTTGGTGATAAACTAAAAACGAGATATATTGAATGAACGAATGGCGAAATTTAACATTGGTTTATTGTCTCCAGGTGAATATCGCATCGGACTTAAGTTCAACGAGCAGCACATCCCAGATTCTCCCTTCAAGGTGTACATCTCCCCAGCGATGGGAGACGCGCATCTTCTCGAAGTCGCCCAGTTCCCAGACTCTGCCCAAGTGGACAAGCCCACTCAGTTCTACATTCGCCTTAACGGAGCCAAGGGCAGTCTTGATGCTAGAGTAAGTGGAAATATTACGTTTTAATATACTTACCACATTAATTTTGCCAATTTTTTAGCTAAAACGATTGGACTAAATGAGCGAAGTGTCATGTCAAGTCGCGCAGACACGTGATATACGCGGGTGAAACCGCGAGGCACAGCTATATGAAATATTTTTAAAACAAAATACAATTTTAAAATTTTTGTGTCTATTTTTCTATTTGTTCCGGCTAATCTCCGAAATGGCTAAACTAATTTTGTCAAGTCTTTCACTGATAGTCTTATTTTTATTTTAGAAAAAGACCCTTTTGTGATTGATATATTATGATATATCTGTCTAAACAAAACTTCGATTATATAAGAAACCACATATAAGTAGTAAAAGTTAATTTTGATGTATATACATGGTGGTACCGTAATGCAGCTATATTATGATTGCAATTGTAACACTACCAGGGCAGTACCTCGCTCTTAACGAATACCAGCATAAATAAGCAGCAAAATGTCTTTTTGTTTCTAACGAGGTATTATATCTAATTCTATAAGCGTAATAAAATTCTTGGACCACAGTTTCACCAGCCATCAGTTGGGTTGTAATCCCGGATTAATAATTAAAAAGCTAGAATCGTTGTTAGCCATGAGAGCTGAGATTAAATGTCTTGTTACAAGTAATAAGGGTCTCCGGTTTTCTACACTGGCCAAACGAAACCGGAGCCGACCCATTAGTGCTGCAAAAACAATATAGTTACATCGTAGTTCTACCACGTTAAGCGGACTCTTAGAAGTGGTAAAAGAACATATAACTGATGTGAAGAATTGACGCCCCGGGAAATCTGCAGCCTGTGAACACGTACAGGATCGCCTTCGTCACTACATCAGATTTGATAGACCACAAATCCTCGCTAAAGAACACCGATTCCTTCCAAGGATGATTCGCGAGGCTATTGAAATCAAAAAACATCCTAAATTCAATAGAGATGATGGCTGGGTGCTACCATTTGCTTGGGATCCTATAATAAATAAAATTAAATCCCAACCCAAGCATACAACTGACTTCAAGAAAGGTACTATAAGTTCATACTGAGTAGATCGGAATAAAAATTAATAATTTTAATCTGTGAATAATCGGAGTTAACTATGACATCGGGAAATCGAACACCTCGGTCCCCCCCCCCCTCTCCCGTGACCATGGGTGCTGTAAAGTGCTCGAAACATCGGGAATATAAAAAAGTTAACATCCACGATAAAATCCGTAAACACTAGTTTTATTTAAACGTGTAGTGTTCGCGTAAATATAAAAAATCATTAGAAGTAAAAGAAATTTCTCTTATTAACTAAGCTTGACAGGTATATTAGTATTACTACTAGGCGTTGAGGTCATAGCCCAGCAATAGATTTTTACAGGATATTTTTTATATAGTAGGTAAAGGGTGACCCACGAGCAAACAGTCCACCTGATGGCAAATGGATGCTGTGGCACACAGGCATCTACATCTATCCTGGATTAAGAATCAAAATATACTAATTGTCACCCCTGAGGACTAAGACGGAATGCCTTGTTTTCAGTAAAAAGGGTCTTCGGTTCATTACAACTCACCATGCAAAACACAGTAGCATTGTGCTGCTATCTTAAGCTTGTGTTCTGCGAGAGCGTGTTCCTTCTCGGTTCGAACCTTCGTGCTGCAAACATAATATAGCTGCAACGTGGCTCACGTATAAATTAGCTAGAGAACTGCATTAATTTTCATTTTATTTATTCGCGTCAGAAATCGATTTTATTAGCGGCCAGTGGTTTCCTGAATGTGTTACATGACGCCTTTTGTGTACGTATCTGTTTAAGATTTAAATGCTCGCAATCCGCGGTGCAAATCTCACGCAGACAATATGTCTCCCAATATCCAGTATTTCCGAGGGGTCAGTTTGATTTATCGTGTGAACATGATAGTAGATCTGTCCGGCTGTGCGTTCTAGGCGATATGATGGATGGTTGCGAATAAAAATATTCGTTGCTATTGTTGAAAAATGTGGACGTTAAATGAAATTTCAAAGATTTGTGTCTAATGTTCCGGTGTATAATTCAGAAATAATTTGGTTAGGATTATAGTTCTATTGCCTCGAATTATATATGTATTTTTAAATACAATAATAATAATGTCCTTCAGAATGATTTTGATCACGGCAGCCAGTCTCGATGTAAACTAGCCCTCTGTAATGGACAGGATTATAGTGCTCGAGTATGTGGAAGTATGTGCAAGGAGGTGCACACTCTATTCCCGTAGTACGCTCATAGTCCACTGGGACGGCTAACCGACATGACCAGAAAGAAATGAGGCGCAGAACCAACGGTTTTATGTGATTTCTCCAGGCACGGAGGTGAAACACCGCTAACTTTCTGATTTGGGCTTTCTTGACAAAAAATTATTTATTGACCCGTTCCGGGATTTGAACGCCAGATCTTATGTTCAGCAGTAACGTTTAAGTCAACTAGACCAAAATTTTCAAGTTTTTTAAACATGATAGTACAGTAATCAAACATATAAGCAAACCCCTTGAAGGTATAATTTTCCATCCACGCATTCAATAAATTTGTTACTAGTATTTTACTAAAGTACATGAGGGTAATATGTTCATCCGGTTAATATGGTCACTTTCTTATAACTCAAAAACTACACCCTTGTTTGGTCTTGTGATGCTGTAACTCTTTATCGGTCAATTAAATAATAAAAGGTCAAATGAATAAGAAATGGCGTCGATAAAGCATCGCCCTTTTGACATTTAATATTATAGTAAATATTTTAGTCGAGTTTAGTATGGTGTAGAGTAGTTACTTTATTTAAGTAGATTTTTCGTAGTGTTCCTAATTATTGCCAATGTTTGTTTGCTATTTTTTTTCTTAATAAATTAGTTATAGTATTCGACTTTATGTTTTTGTCTCTGTACTTCTCGTCGTTTTAGATTTGTAGAGCGGCAAAACTCAAGGTGACTATATTACCCCCTCGTACCTTACAAATAAATAAATGAGACAATAAACATTGCATGCCAACCCGCCTGCGAAGCCACGCAACTATAGAAAATCTTTCCTATGAAACAATCTATGGGAAGACCTATATTCAGCCGTGGTTTTATAGGCAGTATTGGATGGATTAATGAATAGAAATAAATGAAATTCTGGTCCGTAAATTTGTTAGGTTACGGAATTGCTTGTAAGGAGAGACAGTTACAATCATTTACCTATTATATAATTACTTGGTTTGTGAAGTGACTGCTTCGTTGATCTAGTGGTTGTAGTACTGTGACTGCTGATTATAAGGTCCTGGGATCATACGAAACACAGCAGCATAGACTGGCATTCCGTGAGTCTTATATTTACGCGGACATTACACATTGAATAAAACCAGTTATCACGGATTTTTTTGCGTTGATTGTAGAGGGAGACCAGCAGCCATGGGGACCTTGTGACCACTGAATTACTCGAAACGTTTCTTTCAAACCATAATAATTTTATAGCGTTTTTCACTGTCGTCACGGAAACCTTAGGGAAGATGCTCGTATGGGGTGATTGATAATTGTATTTGTCGCCACCAGACGACAATTTACTTGCGCACATTTATTACATGACTAGTTTTTACAAAATAGTTGAGGTCTTACTAGGGTACTTAGGTGTTTATGAGTTTAAAAATATATTAAGAATTTGGTTATAAATATGACGAATCTGAATGACAGGGTGAGAAATTGTGTGATAAGAGAAGAGTGTGGTTTGGAAGATGATCTTGTGACTAGGATTAAGAAAGTAATAAAAAATGAATGACTAAAAAGTGACAAAGCAAATTTATGTTGCAGAAGTAAACGGCATAGTCGGAAAGGGACGTCCTAGGCGAAGTTTATCGACCAAATTGGCGATATATTGAAAATGGGCCAAATTAGGAGTACCCTTAACCGACGAGCATGTATGCGTAGGTATATGGATGTGGAGGAGGCGAGAGAGGTGTGTCAGGATCGTGCCAAATGGAAGTCTGTAGTCTCTGCCGACCTCTCTGGGTGACAGGCGTGAGTGTTAATATGAATATTTATAAGTCCTTAATCTTATATAATATGTGAAATTTATGTAAAAATAGCACATCATGTGTGCCACACAAAAAGTATAAATAAAAAAGCTATCATATTAATTTTTATAACGCATCGCGAAACTTCGCGCCAATATTCATCTTGTTGGCGAACTGTTATCAAATATTAAGAGGGCGGGTGATTTATCCTCTGTCGGGCGGTCACGCGCGCTCGGTCAGTTTTATTACATTTTTTTGTATGAAAAAATTGTAGCTACGAAACCATGTGGCATGAGAGATGTGATTTATTGGTTTTTAGTTATATAGTTTCGTCATGTTTCTTAGTGTTATTTAGCTAGACTGCCTAGTTGGTCTATTGGTTGTAGTAGTGCGACTGCTGATCACGAGGTCCTCGGTTCGAATGTCTGGTCGGGCCAAAAAAAAAACAATTATTAAGTTTTTCCAACTAGAAATTCTCAGTAGCTGCCCGGAGTCAGGAAGTTGGCGGTGTCTCACCCCCGTGCCTCGGAAAGCACGTAAAGCCGTTGGTCCTGCGCCTGATCTCTCTCCGGTCGTGTCGGTTTACCGTACCGTCGTACTATGAGAGTGAGGGAATAGAGAGTGCCCCTGTGCTTGCGCTACATTTGGGCACTTTAATCCTGTCCTGCGCAGATGGCTAGTCGCCGTTGAGGCAGGCCGCCGTGGCCGAAATTCGGTTTGGAGGACATTATTATTATTATATTGTTTACTTTCATATCTCGGCTTTAACCGGTTTACTAATAGCACGGGCCTAAGCCAAGTGTATATTAGTGTTGGATTTGGTACTATCCTGTGAACTACCTTATTCAGCTACCTGTGTATTAGGTTGTGTGGCAATTTGTCTAAGTATAGATGTGGTTTGTTCTGCACTTTGCTATTATTATAGTGTTGTTTAAATTTTTATATAAGTAGCGATTCGCTTCGGCTTCCCAGCGCGTTTCGATTAGCGCCACCTACCGTCTCCAATTGTGAATATAAACTAATCTCGAATCAACTTCATCACACACACACATACACACACACAATTTCATCAAAACGTTTAGGAGAAGTTAAGTCACACAAACACGGCCAGAAGAATCTCTACATAGTATAAAACAAAGTCGCTTCCCGCTGTCTGTCAATAGATTTTGATGCAAGTTTTATCACTTGACAGAATGATTCAAGAGGAAGGTTTAAACGTACAATACATGCATGTTATAGTAGAGAATTATATGTATAAAAATCAATTGCAACGTGTATGAAAGATCATCACTGGAGCACGCCTGGACTGATTTTGATGAAATGTGTTGTGTGTGTTTGATTGGGTCCCTAAATGTTTTTCATTCACTATTGAACCTGGTAGGTGGCGCTGTTGTCGAGATCCAGATATCACCCGTGGAAAGCCAATCGAGATCGCTAGTTATATATATATACAACATGTAACATAATTAACGCACTTTGAGAAAATAGTTTGCTCAGAATCGTTTACTGAATCGATTCCTATCATTTTTAATATAGGTAATTTTTTATCCCAAAAATAATTAAACAAACTGAGAGTGCAGTTTTATTTGTATTATTACTAATTCTGTCATTCAATAAAATAAAAAATAATAAACTTTATTTCAAGCACGTTAAAGTCTTTGCGTTCGTGGATTTGTACTGTGACCACAACATTCTTCCGGAATTTGTATAACTAATTTGATAAATAATCAGTGCATAAAAATGTTTAACTAAACATATTTGTCATGTCAAGGCAGCGTAAGAAAATCTATAACCTCCTGGTTTGTAGTTAGTTGCAGGTGTACGTGGGCTGCAGAAGCCACTCGTCATCAGCTGGATTTTTTATAGAATAATGGTGACAAGAGAGCACACAATCTACCTGATTGTAAGTGGATGCTGCATCTATATCTGTACTCGATTGAGAATCAAAATGCAGAACCGTTGTCACTATAGATTTTCTATGGTTGTCACCCTAGGAATGCCTTTTTTACAGGAAAAAGGGTCTCCGGTTCTCTACACTCACCATACGAAACACAGTCATTCTGCTGTTTCACGCTGGTATTTGTGTCACTTAAACTTTTTTTTAAAAACCACTCTCTTTGCAGGTTATTTCTCCATTAGGCAAGACAGATGACTGCTTCATCCAGAACATCGACGGCGACCAGTACTCCATCAGGTTCATGCCTCACGAGAACGGAGTCCACAACATCAACGTGAAGTTTAACGGAGTTCATATCCCCGCGTCACCGTTGAGGATCAAGGTATGCTTTATGTAACAAAAGGTTTTGTTGAACCCTTAGTGCTTTTACTCGTAAGATAATTAATAGAATCAGGCGTTACTTAGTGCGACTTATATTAAAGATGCTAAAAATCAATTTGCTAGCTAGCAAGAGCAGAGGTGAGATATACTCGCTGGAGAGCTACGATCTGATGAAACATGCAGGAAATCGATGGAAATATGTCGTTGGTTGCTCAGAACTGTACATTGTTGTAATCTTTGGAAAAAGAAATGTGCATCCGTGGATTTGTGATGAACTGAATAAGATACTAAAGAGGAGTATGATGATGAGATGGGCTTTTCTGCCTAGCATTAGCCACTTACCATCAAGTGGATTGTAAGTTCACATCACACCAGTTTTATAAGAAAACATGTAATCATCACTTTCTAATTAAAAAATGACTTTATATTATGATCCAGCTATTTGATTTTATTGCCACTACCACTTTGCAACACCACTCAGCTAAGAAAATGCTGATTAGAACTACTTTAACTGATTTTATGGTTTTTAATTACCGACGTTTCGGGTTCTTTCCAACATTCTTTCCAGCATCTATGGTCACGGGGGACTGAGGGGACTGACGTTCCGATGTCAGTGTTAGCCCGTCACCTTCAGCTTTTTAATTATTATATATAGTCCGATCTACAATAACGATCTAATAGTTAAAAAGCTGATGGTACTCCGGGTTAACATTGACATCGGGACGTCAGTCACCTCAGTCCCCCGTGACCATGGGTGCTGGAAAGCACCCGAAACGGCGGAAATTAAAAATAATGTAAATTAAAAACGATAAAATCCGTATAAGTAGTTTTAATCAATGTGTAGTGTTCGCGTCAATATAAGAAATCATTAAGAAGATGCTTTAAAAAGTCCAAATCTGTTTAGGTCGGAAAGGATGACGCCGATCCCGCAGCTGTGCACGCACATGGACCCGGCCTTGGAACAGTGAAAACTGGTAAAATTATTAATTATTTTATATCATTTTGTTCATTCTTTCTTTTTTACATTGAATTCGATATTTTATTAACTAATTCGTTACCAATGTAGGAGCAAAAACGGATCTAATCATCGATACATGCAATGCTGGTGTTGGTATTCTCGCTGTCACAGTGGATGGTCCTTCCAGGGTAGCCATGGACTGCACAGAGGTTGAGGAAGGTTACAAGGTACTGAGAAACCTCCTTTTAAACATAAATCAAATAGACAAATTCTTTAACTCGTTTTTACCAAGTTAACAAATTAGAATGACTTTTATTTCATTCATCTAAATAATATTTTCTAAGAAGTTTTTATCTTTACCTCACATTTGGAATGCTAATTATTTCATCAGGTCCGCTACACACCATTATCTCCTGGCTTTTACTACATGAGCATCAAATACAACGGACACCACATCGTTGGGTCGCCGTTCAAGGTCGAAGCCATTGGTAAGTAAAAAAAAAAACTATTTCAAGAGCCTTTACTGGAAGATTTTTGTTTAGTCATCAAATATAACTGTGCTTCGGCGGTCTAAAGCGGAACCAAATGGCACAAGAGATGTAATGAAGTAAAATTTACTATAAATAGAAATTTATCTTAATTTGAACTGCAGCTATATTATGGTTGCAGCACGTAAGGTATCGGTTAGACCAGAAGAGGACCGCACTCTCAAAGCATACTTGCTTCAAATAAATAAAAAGAATACTTGTTTCATATGGTGCGTGTTTACTTGAAACCCTTACTAGAAACGAGGCATTCGATTTTAGTCGTCAGTGGTGTCAACGCATCTTTGTCACCTTTTTTCTATACAAAATAAAATATAAAACCTAACCTAAATATATCAAAATGAAAAACATCTTTTTTTTCTATTTTTAAAGTTTTGACTGTTGTCGTTGCTGAAGCTTCCTTAAATTGGTATTGTTTTCTCACAGGTGAAAATTTGGCTGAAATCGGAGCTCAAGAAACATCTTCCGTGACCGTAGAGACCGTACAAAAAGTCTCAAAGTCAGCGCAGAAGCTTGGGCCGGTACTGCCACTCTTCAAGTCCGATGCTTCTAAAGTCACTAGCAAGGGCATGGGCTTGAAGAAAGCCTACCTGAACAAACACAATCAGTTTACTGTACACGCTGGCGATGCTGGTAAGTTTAGCATAATCTTTTTTGTAATAATAGTAATAATAATCTAGTTATTAGAATTTATTTTGTTGAAAAGTAGGTTCAACTATCCTATAATTCGTACATAATTCCATTTTTTAGGTTTACTGTGTGTTTTGTTTTATGTGACTTTTTGCTTAATTGTTGTTTTTTTTTTGCTGGATATAATTAATGTAGGTTATCAAATTATTAGCAAAGACCGATTTGAAAAAGTATATTAATTTTACGTTGAATAAATACTTGGCTAAGCCTTTCGTGTCAAAAGCGCGGTTATCAATGTTCTATAGTACTATATAGTATCTATAGGAGGTTCACGTTTAGCAGTGTAAAAAAATCTTAAATAATTGCTAATAGGCAGGCATACTGATTTACGCGATTCACTCCGTCTATTTAACCGATTTCCTTTGCGCTCTGAGGTTATTAGTAGCTAAACTAGCCTGAGTAACATTATCGTACTCGTAACCTTCGTTGCATATTTTATTATTGTACTTTTGACAATTTAACACTTTACAGGTAACAACATACTTTATGTCGGCATCTATGGTCCTAAAGGCCCTTGCGACGAAGTACAGCTGAAACACAAGGGCAAGAACAACTATGAGTGCTGGTACGTCGTCAGGGACAGGGGAGAGTACATCGTCATCGTCAAATGGGGAGAAGAACATATCCCCGGATCTCCCTATAAGGTTGAAGTCTAAGCGTGAACGTATGAGTCAGCATGTGCACATTCATAAACTTAAAAACATGCTGTCAATTAAGAATTTAAGTTTTTTAATTCTTATAACCATATATTAAAGAGTTGCAATTTCTTTTGTTTTAATTATTAATTGATTTCAATATAATAATTAAGAGAAAAATAGCATGCTGTCAACTTAGGTATTAGTTTATATGTTACGCAGTGATTACGTATATACTATAAGCGAAAGGATTCTGAAAAAGGTTTGTGTTGGGTGTTCCAAAATTGAGCTCACTAGTTTTCTGTAAGCTACGACTGGGTACTATGGAAGGTTATGTACTTAAATGCTTATAGTTTGACATAGATAAGTTGTTTCTAGTCAATTTTCGTGTAAGTCTTGAATTGCAACGTAATATTTAATTGTAGTATTTTTTTGCCTTTGGTTCCTATTTAAAAATTGATTCCTTATAATAAAAGTCGCTTTTTTAAATTGACTTTCTGATAAAATAAATTCAAATGGATTTTAGTATTGCTGATTAAACTAGATCATATTGGGACAGAGGTCTACTCACGCTGCCATATTTAACTCGAAGTATTTTCAATCGTATTCTTCAACTCTAAAACAATTTATTTAAATATTTAATTTATTATGTACATGTTAGATACATACTTTTAATGCGCTTTTCGGATTTGATCTCTCGATACCGAATCTAATTCTTAAAGTGTTAATTGTTTTGTGATTAGTGTTTTCTTGTGTTTTTCAATTTCTTTTTCGTATCCTTTATAATTGTATTTTCCGTTATTCCTTTTTTAATGTTTGTATTGTCCATTTTAACTAGCATTTTATTTTATCTAAGACCTTGTTCAAAATTGTTCATCATTTATATGATTCTCGTTTAGTTTTAAGGGCGACTAAATGACAATACATATAAAGTACTTATTTAAAAAAAATATTCCCCATAATTTTTAAGACTAAAGATAAAGTCTATTATTCTACATTTGACCGAATTTGATCGTTCTAACATTAGTGCTTCTTCAACGATTTTTTGTAATAAATCGTTACAGAAGAGACATAGCGAAGAAATTCGGTCATATTTGAATGGAGGCTCGACGATAAGTAGATTTTTTTATCTTCATTCTTTCGTTAGAAAACTAACTCATCGCGGAAAAATCTGTCATCTGTCTAGAGCCTTAGTTTTATAGATTGTATCTTTACTATCTAATATTAATATTTTTCTGTTAGTAATCTATTTTTATTAAGGTTGAATATTTAATTTGCTTTCTAATTTTTGTATGGTTCGTATGGATTTTACCTGCGTAGGTAGAAAGACCCCGTATTATTGTAAATACCTATTTTAAGTACTGATTTATTATAATTTGCGACTGTTATCTAAATAAAGAGAAAAGTTCATAAACCGTTTTTTTATTACACATTAATCCTTTCGAGCTCGCATTTCTTCGCGCAATTAAATCTTAAAAACTGAATTTATTTTTACAAAAATACTTTGATTAATCGAAATATTTGTTTTAACTATTAATACATACTTGGCATTTCATAGACAGCGCCATTTTGTGTTGATGCCCTTGCTATAGATGTATGTTGCACGACAATCGATGACTCTTTTAATACAGTCTCCATAGTTTCTTCGAAATTAATAATTTTGCTCAAGGGTTTTGTTTTTTTAAGTTCAAATCAAAAAGTTATATAAACTCAAAAAGGCGGTAGTCAACTGTGGTAAGGTTTGGAGAATATAGTGGATGATGAGGGGTCTCTAGCTTTAGTTGTGCTAATTTTGACATCATCTCTGTCGTTAACTAGATCTCCCAGTCCGTGACGTAGAAATTTGTCTAGCTACTTTGTTCTAAATGATCTAATATTCTTTAGCATATTAAAAGTCGTACTTTGATACGAATCCATTTCCACTAGCGGTCAGCTAGGAGGCTTATTTAAAAGGTCAAAATTTTCCTAACGAAAGCGATAGAACCAATATGTTCAGTACGTCCGTCAGTAATGCTTGATCCGTATACGTCGTTGATATTGCGTGCCATTTGAGAGGCATTGCCTCCACGAGGGAAATAAATTTTGAACAAAAGCAATATTTCAGAAAATACTAAATTCAAAAAAAAAAATTAAATAATAATTAATTTAAAAATGTATAATAAATGCTATTATAATTCAAAGTGGCCGAGTTCATCAAAATGGTAATTTCACAGATAATATTATACCTTTTCAAGTCACAGCAACCGTAATGTGCCAATCTAAGGAGACATGGGGGTCACAATAGACTTCCTTCAAAACTTATTATAGTTTTTTTAAACATAATTTTGCTTCTTACTCGAATATTATATGTGTATAATAGATTATTGATTTTTTGGGTTCTGATGTAAAATCATAAATTGAGTTAATTTTTACTCTGTGGAGTCGTGAAACTGGTATTACAAGCTCATATTTGTTCCTAGTAAGGCGTGGTAGCTCAGTAGATTAGCGTCTGCCGTAAATTGACAGTATAAATAGTATGTACCTATGGTATGTACTAGACATACTATTATTTATTCTGTGATAATACGCGTGTAACCCGCCGCGCTGCCCCAAGGCATGGTTGCGGTCTTCGAAATATTTATTTTTATTTTTAAACATGCAGGTTTCCTCACGACGATTTCTTTCACCGATGAGCACGTGGTAAATCAGCACTTACGATTGCAATTAACAATTCCATTAACACCGGCGGGGTAGACTCCGGGTTGCTCACGTAGTATGAAGTAGCGAACACTTAGCTCCTAGTTTCTAAATAATAAAAGACCAGTATGTTCTTTAAAAATTAAGAAAGTGAAATTGTGAAGGTGCCAGACTTTTCATTCTGCGTTTGCTATCCTGTCTCCTAGGCGCGACAATTAGGGTTTGAAAAAAAATTACCCTTTGTGGTAGAGTCCTATGTTTAAAATTGAATTTCACGACTTATAAGGAAAAAAAAAATATTAAGAACTTAAACATATTAAAGGATACGGATACAACAATGTCCCTAAAATATAAGTAATTTCATTTTATTGATTTTTAAAGAACATACCGGTCATTTAAAATATATTATTGTTCTTATATTTCAGGCTTAAAAGTACGAGAAGGTTAAACCGCCATCTATCGGAGGCCAAAGGATTCTATTTAATTTTGTTGATATTAATTTTATATATAAGTAATTAATTTTCTTCTAAAATAAGCTTACAATTATTATGCTTTTATGTCTTTAGATCACCAAATTCTTAAAACAGTTTGAGGAAACGATGGCACTTGTTACGTAATGTGCCGATAGATGGCTCTGACTTACATTGTGAGTACTTGTGAGCGAAACTTTTTATTTGTACTTTGAAAAATTATTTTTAACTAAATATGACTGCCTAAAAGTATTTTTATAATTTTTTTTGATATTATTATTACCCAATGAATTGATCATCACTATCATTATCACCACATGTCCGCAGCTGAACATAGGTCTCGGTCATAGATGGCCACAAGGTACAGTCCTGAGCCACCCGTATCCATAGACAACCTGTGTGTTTCATCAGGTCATCACTCGATTTGGTGGGATACCCAACACTGCACTTTCCAGTAAGAGGCTGTCATTCGAAAACTTTCTTCTGAACCGAATGTTGATTCTTCGAACAATCAGGCTGGCCTAATAATTGATATTAGTAACCTCAAATAAAAAATAATAATAGATGTTTTGTTGATTTACCCATTTTTCTTTTTTAAACGAGCATGTGGCTCATCTGATGGTAGATGACTGCCGCTGTTCATAAACAGCTGCAACACAAAAGGAAGAGGTAGCTTAACAGTAGCGTTGCTGGTTGTTTCACAAACAACCGTTTTGAATTGCAGATCGGACGGTACACTTGTAGCCTGTTATTTGTAGACATTTTTGGACCAGTGGTTCGGCAAGGACTCGTGCAAAGACTGTAGGCGGCGGCAGGAGTCTTTAAGTCAACGTCAACTATAATACTGTATCTAACTACTCTCCAGTGGTAGTGGTTTCCATTCCAGAGGACATAGAGGAGTACGGACAAAGAGTGCACCTGCGTTCGCGTGCATAAGTACGTAAATATGCCCCGTGCATATGGTTGCTTCTGCTTAAACGCAGAGGCCATAGTCGCGTAGCCGAAATTGGCACAGTAGATATTATGTTTATTATTTGAAGTGATTATTTCCAGATTAGACGTCATATACTCGACGACATATCATCATAAAATATGTAAAGGCATTCTCATACATTTTTTTATATAAAACCTCCACACCAAGATTTTCTTCTGTTTTTCGGGGGCAGTTTATATACATAAATTTCACAAGGATAAACATCCAGACCCGGACCAATTATTTGTAAGCCATACAAATCTTGATCCGTGCGGCTCATTCATTGTGAAGCGCTAAGCCATTGCGCCATAATACACGCTTTACAGGCGAACTTAGTTTGTTATTTACTGTCATATATTGTATGGTTATACCGCCATCTATCGGATGCCATGGATATTTTTGTACGAGGAACATGATGGCTACATGAATGGTACGGCCCGACCGAGGTAGGACCGTATTTTATACTAACCGAACACAGATTTCTTACCAAACTGCCTCTAAAAGAGGATAATGTTTTGGGAGTGTATGTATATATAAATATAATATGTCCAATTTTTTTTGCACAACCTGTAGCCTAAACAGCGTGATGGATTTTAACTATGGGGTGTTGTTAGATTCATCTTGGTTGCAAAAGTAACATAATGTTTCTCCTTCGAGTAAACTTATTTATGCGATCGGTTTTATTGAAACTATTTTTTTAACTTATCATAAGCCAGTGCTTGATCACAGCTACACCACCACTTACCACCAGGTGGGAGGTGGTAAGTGGTGATGTAGCCCTAGATGGCAAATCGAACTGCCTTGAAGAAGCCCAGATTGTAGTCGGACCAAGATACAGACGCCAATAATTTATTATACATTACAAACAGCAAATGTGATTTTAATGCATAACATGCTCATGATCGACGGCGAACTTGAATTTCTTAAACATCTTACAGATTTTATCAGTCTTTACACCTTTTTAAATTAGTCACAATACAGCTGTATAATACCTGTTGCATGAATGATTCAATTCCACCGTGTCAGGTCAGGAGTCAGGACTATACTCTCAGAGAATACCAGTTAGAAAATATCAGCATTACACCGCTGTTTCGGTGAGTGACAAGAAAAATAGACCCTTTTTCTGGTGAGGAGGCATCCTATCTTAATCCTTAGGGGCGATAACACATCTGAATTTGATTTTAAATAGATATTGTCTATGACCATAACTTATCATAAGGTGAACTGTGTTCTCGTTTGTCACACTTTTATCTATAAAAAAAAATCGATTCTTTACTCAATGGACGCGATATGGTTTAACTTACATCGCTAACATCCATCTGATGCACTCTAAATGTACCAAAGAGGACATATAAGGGTTTTGAAATAAAAGAAGTTATAGTTCTTGGCATAGTTGTAATTAACTTTTAATTGATTTTAAGTAACAAAAAATCCGTTCACTTTGATCTCTAATCTTAAACGGGAACGCTAGATAAAGCGAAAGTATATTTAAAACGAAAATTACTTACAAAAATATGTTTTTAAACGTAGCAATAAGTTTACACTTAACTAAAAAAAATCAAATTACAATATCACATTTCTACTTACAATAGAGAGATATTGGCGAATCCGTTTCCCTTAAAACCGGAAGAAAAAAAATTTGGATATAATCTTGGTTTGTCATGACCTTCAAATACTATACAATAAAAGTGATTTCTCACGATTTACACTATAACAATTCGGAAGAAGTATATTGCCGTGAATTCACAATAAAAACAATATAATACGTTATACGAGAACTTATATTAGCATTTGGCTAACTTTGTGACAGACGACAGACGGCTTTCTAACATACGGAACCCAAGTACGAATCACATATAACCACAACCTAACAATTTTAAATCTAAAAAATAGCAAATTAATTTAGAAAGGACATCCGTGCGACATTTTCACCCACATCCGCTTCCTATCACATTTTTCTCTAGACCTCGACTCATTAAGATATAATTAACAAAAAATTCGTATACGTTCAAATTAATTAAAATTAATCGTCAACGGAAACATTTGCTTTAAGTACCTTTTGTATTATTTCAAATCAGTTTAAATTTAATTCCAGGGTCGCTTCTTCACTTAGATTTTAAACAAGAAAGAAGCAATCCTAGAATTTATGGGAATAGAGAATTCCTCATAATATAATAAGATCCAGACGAAATTCTTAGGTCTAATAAAATTGAGCATAAGCTTTTAAGACTTAAACTGAAAAAAAATTGTCAATAAGTTTCAAATTTCATCGAAAAGGTTTTCCGTATTTACAAAATATATACAAACGTGCGCCATTTCAGAACTAGATAATGAATACGTGATTTTGGCCACTCATCAATGATTTATACAAAATATATCATAAACAAGTGATAAAAAATATATTCAACCTTCAAAATCGCAAAAAAAGAAAAGAAATGGGTTTCAATACGACAGTATCGACTCCGAAGGAAGATTATATTTTCTAGAATTGTTGGAACCGGATGAATTATCGAGAGAATTAGAATAAAGCTAAATATAAAAAAAGTAATTATTCGATCTAAGTAGGAACTGAGTGCAAATGTGATGAGAGAAGAGATCTGCTACTAGCAATAGACACTTATTGTTTACGATAAAATGCAACAGAAAGAAACGTAGTACTAGTGATGTCAAGTGGAATTACTAATATATCGATAACAGTAAAAATCAGGAACTCTGAATTTTATTTTTAACATTGAACCTACACTGACATTTAGGCAATAATTAAATAAAAATGATTAGCTGCTATAAAAATATATATCAATATCGACACTATAATATATCGACAATATCAACATCAGAATTTTTCACAATAAATAACCAGACACAAACTTTAAATTATGCTTTGTAAAGCTACATATGTCAATTATTATGCTTCATGGTTTTATCGACATAACTGAAAGTAACAACATCAGAATTTTTCACAATAAATAACCAGACACAAACTATAAGTTATGCTTTGTAAAGATACATATGTCAATTATTATGCTTCATAGTTTTATCGACATAACTGAATGTAACAATATCAGAATGTTTCACAATAAATAACCAGACATAAACTTTAAGTTATGCTTTGTAAGGCTACATATGTGGATTATTATGCTTCATAGTTTTATCGACATAACTGAATGTAACAACATCAGAATTTTTCACAATAAATAACCAGACACAAACTTTAAATTATGCTTTGTAAAGCTATTTGAATCATTATGCTCGACAATTTTATCGACAACTGTTCAGACGTTTTATAAGGACCATTTAATGACTACTTTCTGCCAAATATTTTATGGTTGTTTAGACTGAAATAATTTATGAAGGTTGGCTTTGCGGAAGAAACTATTCAATAAATAGCATTTAATACATTTTTAACTATTGAAATCACAATTTAGTCCAGAATATAAACGTCATCTAATCAGCAAAATTCAGAGTATTATTCATACACGATATCGAATTAAGTCTAAAAACATGAACTCGTCTCTCACTAACGACAAAACAAGTTTGTTGTATTTTATACATCGATAATACCAGTGTTCGTGAGCGAGATTCTAATTTTATTATAATAATATTTCATATACTTTTTTAAATACTAGTAATACCATGGTAAGTACTAAGGTAGGCACACCTACATATTAAACGGCAAGTTAGATATTACTGTTTGTCTTTGTGTGATAGGGAGTGGGGTAGGATGTGTTCAGCCGGTAATAATGATGGTTGGTGAGCGTAATTACGAATTTGATGAAGTGATATTAGCTGATTCGGGAACGAGTTCGGCTGCTGTTTTCCTTGTTGAAAATGCAGAGGATCGTAGAGATAAGGTCGCGTTGGTAAAGCGCTGTGATGCGATAGACCATTGAGATGAGGCGCCATAGAATTTATTGGTGTGAAAGCGGAATTTGCGGCAGACGAAACCGGAGGTTGGATGCGATCGTCTTGCCCATCGTGCTGGGCAAATAGGGCCCTCTGTTGCTGTAGTTGCTGCTCGTGATGCTCGTCGTTCTCGCGCTGCTGGTGGTACCCGCTCTCGTCCGACATGTGCGCTGCGGAGTCAGGGCTAACCTTAGGCCAGTATGGATGATCACCGAACGGAGCAGCAGTAGGCGCTGCCGCTGCTAACGACCTGTTCAAACCGCTCAAACCCAATGCAGAAATAGGCGGCCGTTTATCAGCCCTCTCCGCGTGCTTGTTCATATGCTTACTTAAGTAAGTTTCCTGTGTGTAGCTCTTTCCGCAGTACTGGCATATGTGTGTCTTCAAATGCTTAGATTCTTTGTGCTTCGGAATGTGCTCCAATAAATCTTTCTCGTGCGTGAAACATTTGTAGCAGGAGTTGCATTTAAAAGGCTTGTCAGTTTGATGGCAACGGCTGTGGCTTTGGAGGTTGGACAGTTGCGAGAAGGCCTTTGTGCAACCAATTTGTGTGCACCTGTACGGTTTGTCACCTGTGTGGGTGCGGATGTGTTGTTGCAGATGGGAGAGCTGGGTGAACTTGCGCTGGCAGATCTCGCAGCGGTAGGGTTTGATTCCGAGGTGGATACGAGAGTGCTGTGCCAGGTACGAAGAATTGGCAAACGCCTTCGGACATTGTGTGCAACGGTAGGGTTTGGCCTCGCGTAAATGAATTTGCGTGTGAAGTTGTAGATCTGCTTTCGAGCCGAACACCTGAAATTAAGAGAAAACAATGTTAGCTATTTTTAATAAAATAATTATCACTTTGGGTTGGTTTATGATGGCTATTATAAAAGGAGATAAAATATGCTAGAAAGAAATATAATATTATACATTTAATATATTTTGGAATTATGGTGAAAAAGAAAATAAACATTAATAACATCATGCATAGCTAAATAACAACATGAAAATATAAATATCTACGTATAATTTTTGATATATTTTCATAATATTTGTTCACAATGTTGAATATAAGATTAAAGCGTAAGACGTTAAGTGAGAAAACATTTGCTATTTAAAATTCATCATCAGACTCAGCGAATTTACCCTTGAACGACATCCGAGGGCAACTGGAACAAATTTTACTCGTTCCGAGTGGTACGTTTTTTTTTATTTGTTCAAGAGAGGAACTGACATAAAGGCAGGATACCAGCCTCACGGCGTTTCAAAGAGCCTTAATTAGCATCACTTCCTTAAAATCATCGGAGCGATCAAAATAATCATACTTAGGTATACGCTACCGAATTTGTAAATGGTAAGTCAATGCCAAGGTAATTTATAATGCAACTAACATCCGTGAAATGCGTGCACGCTATTTTATTTCATATTACATGTAAGCAATGAAGCCTTTATTGCATAAATGTGCTGATAGACCAATTTTGTTTAGGTATAAGCTACGCGTGCCAACAAACCACGTCTATTAAAATACGCCGGCACTCAACGCACGTTCAAAAGGTTGTTTCAGTGATGTTCATTGTGATATTCTAAATTAGTTTCTGAGTTGAAACCGGCTTCGTCATCCTACCGATAGGTTTTATTCAACATCCAACAATGAAACTTTGGGCCACGTTCCTTCGGGCACCGGATTCTATGGACAACGGAACATGACTCAATTTCAACGTCACAAACCAATTTTATGATTGCTATCACAAAACTAGTCTTTATAATGTAGCAAAATAGATTTCAAATCACACTATCATCTTTTGATGTGGACCGTTGAATTCTGCTTACCAGGAAACAAAATTATAAGGTAAGTCAAAATATTTGCGCCAGCGAGCGATTTTAAACTTTGAATAAGCATAGATAGAGATGATAATTCCAGTTAAACGAGGTTGGATTTTGAGTGTATATGTTTACAAGAGCTATAAGATTCGGTAGCACGTTGAATGACTTGACAGAAAATGTGAGACACGAACGCGATTGGTCACAGCCTGAACATAATTAAAGTTTGGAGCACTACTTAATGGCATGAGGCTGGAAATTCGAGGTGGTGGCTGACTTTTAATAGGACTTCGTGAAGGATCGATTCACCGGCAAAGGAATCTGTGTTAAATTAAAGTATTAGAGAACATCTTTATGGTACACGAGAAAAACTGTCACTTGGTTGCAGATGATTACAAATCAAATGATTTAAGCGTACAAAACAGTTGTAAAGTAAGCGTTAAACAAATTCTAAAACACTATATCACAATAAAACATTGAATGAATAATTTGTTAAAATATTAGCATTTATTATGGATGCACATTCAGACTTAATTCAAACTGATAGAAAAATACAGACAAGCATTAACGACGAAAGTAAAACAGTACAAAACAAAAAAATGCTAAAATAAAAACGTATTGACAAACAAGACACGTAGATGGACAGTTAAGACAATCTTCTGAGGTCAAATTTCAGAAAACTATTTTACAAATATTTTCAATCAATCTTTTAGTTTTTTTTTTGCATTATGATGACTCAAGACTGTCTTAACGTCGCATTTGGATTTCCACCAACCTCATGGTCAGAGGAGGCCAATAGACTCCACTCTGTTGGGTCGGTAGCACTTTTCGGGACTCGAAAGTCCGATGGGTCCGATATAGTCTTTTTTCTGCCACGTCTATCACCACCCGGGACCTGGTTAATTTATTAAATTTTGACTCCCATATGCCAATTAGAAAGCTACAGATACTCCTATTAACTAAATTCGTAAAATAATACAAAATAATATATATGATGAAAACAAATACGTCCAGAAACAACCTCAATGTCTACTTTGCAAAAAACTTAAAACCTTAAAGTCAAGTCTGTCTATTCAATATGTTTAGCTATTTCAGATAGCCAAGTAAAAAAGTAAGTCTTAGATGAAACATTTTATTTGAAACAGGTGATAGGCCTTAAACACACACTGCAACATATAAGTTTTTCAAGTGTTTTTGTATTGGATTTGTACATAGTTTTAACAAAACACTTGATACGAATTTTCAGTCAATTGAATTACATTGAATAAGCAAAGGAAGTGTAAGGAAAGATGAGTAAGTTAGCGCTGCTGATAGTGATCTTATGACACTGATAACAACGATGGTAATGATGATGCTAATGATGACGATAATGATGATGATGAACTACATTTAGCCTAGATATCGCATGGATGGAAAAAGTCCAATGTTTATCCAGTAAGGGTAAGTCGTTTACACAACCTTAATTTGAAAATGTGTCTCATAGTGACAACACTGGACAAGATGCCCTGCCACAGATTTGACAGAAGGGGTAATGGGATTAATGCGGTTATTAAACGGGGTCCGTCCACCGTGACATATTTTAGCGACCCGTATAAAGCAGCGGAGAAAAATCGCAATGACCCAACTCAAGATGTATTTGCCTTGTCGGATAACGTGTTGCTACTGTAAAATTTTCCTGCGTGAAGCTTTAAAACAGTACATTGTATATATATATATATATATATATATATATATATATATATATATATATTCATAACACTTTTATATTGAGCTTTTAAATTATGTTTATTTTAAATTGTCCATTACATATACAGTAATACGGATGATATGAGGCTAAAATAATATATAACATATATAACTTTTGATAAAGCTTAGTGCCAATGAGCGTCTTAGTTCTTGTACCAAATATTATAGTTTTATGAATGAGGAATTGATTGTTATAAACACAGTTAATACTTAATGACGGTAATTGAATGGCGGATTAAATTCCGCAACATTTAAGTTTTGCAGTCCCTACTCTTTACTATTAAAAACTATTTAAGTAAATTATTTAAATGTTTAACGTATGCCTAGAAGTTTAAAAATATAAATCCTTAATAATTAATAAAATGTATTTAGCAATAATGGCCACTTGCTAAAAACATTAATTTCTAACTACGTTAACGTGTATGTAATAATGCGTAGCGCGAATAGTAATTTCCTTAAAATCTGTTAGCCGCATTTTCTTCTCAGTGAAAACATTAAGGGTGGCAAAAACCAGCGACCGCTGCTCGGTTTTTGTTGACCTAAAATTATTATTAATCGCGGGCATAGAAGCATTTATCTAAGCATATTAGGGTTTGTCCTGAGGGCTGAAGGGATTTACTCTAATAAGGCGTAGTTTTTGCGCGATGGAGATTAATTTGCGAAAGCTTCGCAGTTGGAAAAGGCTCAGAACGTGTCGTTATTCTTATTTTTTGCTAATATGGAGGTGTGTTTATTAAAATAAACAGGATATAGGTGTATTTTGCATGGTCAAGTGCTTTAGGTAGACAGATTTATGTTATATACAATATGTACATAGATGATAGGAGATACTTTATACGTGGTAGAGCCACGCTGCAGTTATATGATGGTTGTAGCGCGAATGGGTCGGCGCGACCGGGGACGGACCACGCTCTCACAGAATACCAGCTTAAAATGGCAGCTCAATACTGCTGTGTTTTGTATGGTTAGTGTAGAGATCTGGAGACCCTTTTTTACTAGGAGGCGTACCATCTTAGTTATCAGGGGTGACAACGCATCTGAGGATAAATGTTATTCTCTATGGGTCACAGCATCCACTTACCATCAGGTGGACTGTGTGCTCGTTTGTCGCTCTTATTCTATAAAGAAACACAGACTTTTATCTAGGTAAGTAGTTAGTCGGGTGGTTCTTTTGTACGCTTCGGTATCCATTTGAGTAGTAATGATCCTCTTTGCTACTTCTGGTACAGCAGCACGAGCACTACTGTCTTACCGGTCCGGAAAAATCGCCGGTGGTAAACTATTCCACAGATAGGTCGAACGCGGAAGAAAATTACTTGTGAAGCGTACAGTGGTGGACCGCCAAGCATCCAGATGGTGTTGATGGTATCGGGACGTTTGCCGCGTAGTGCGTTCATGAAATTTGGCGGCTGGGATTAATCCGATCCGGACAATTCCTCTGAGCACTCCCCGTGATAGATGCGATAAAATACGCAAAGAGATGCAACATCTTTTCGCAACGCCAGTGAATCGAGCCGATCGGAAAGCACTCGGTCGTCGATGATTCGAGCCGCTCTGCGCTGGATGCGGTCAAGTGGAAGGAGCTGGTACTGGGCACCGTATGTGAAGGGTAGAGAGCCAGTACAGTTAAAGGCTGCCAGGCATTTCCATAGTAGCCCCCAAAAGTTACAAAGAACCTGTAGCCTTATCTAGACAAAAAAATTCAAAGTCAAACCATAGATTATAAAATTATTCGATTCACTTTTTTATCATTTCCGCTCCCTTTTACCAGTTTTAAAAATAAAAATGGGACGTTCAGCATATACCGGGTAGTGTGTACTTTTATCCATATCTAGTCAAAGGTAAAGATCGCAAGGCAAGATGTTTCGATCTGTCCATATGAGTTTTTTCGTTACTGCACCGAATAAGGTATAAGTGGCATACCAGATTCTAATTTTATGCTTTAATTGACTGTTTGCACATGTTTACGACTAAATTTGAGATCAAGAATAGCTAACCGGTTCGAAAATATTGAATAGAACTTAGTTAACATACCGATGCGAAGTGTATACTGTATATACTTTGCATTATTACATTTTAAATCGCGGGATAACTAACATCATTATGAAAATCAATATGTAGATCAAGGTTTTTGATATTTAAGTAACATAGAATTGGAAATACAAAATATATCAAGTATTTAAAAACATTAAAAAAAGAAAACAAGTCACTTTATCGTTCTCTTGTCTATGATAAAACGTGAT